GCCCAGTCCTGATCAAGTCCATAAGTCCGATATTAGCCCATATGTCTGATATCAATCTGTAAAGTCCTCTTCAGACTCACGAAACACATGCAATGACGCTGAATGCAGAAGATCACAGGCCAGTGGGTAGAAAGTCTTTGGATCCAATGTCATTGTAAGCATCTCAGCGCTGGCAGGGGTCTCTCTGTGGTTTCTCTGGCTTCCAAGGTCTTGGAAGCCACATTGCGTCCATGTGGCTTGTCTTCCGCAATGTCTCCCAGGGTGTAGCAGAGAAAGAGTGTGTCTTCCACCTCCAAGGAGGAAGTACCAGATTTCCCAGAATTCTCAGGAGAAGGCAATTCCTACACAGGAGTCTCATTGGCTCTCTCCAGATTGACAGCCTAGACTCCATCCCTACACTCTTAATCCTTAAATTGACACCAGATTTGGTGACTGCCACAACCTCCAAAGCTCCTTAAAGGTTGAATGACTCAGTTCCTCTACCAAACCTTTGGGAGAACTTTAACCAGTATTTAAAGTTGAGAAACAGATTTCTCCCACCCTAGTTAATAATGAGGGAGGAAGACTTGTATTTCTACTGCCATAGAGAGCTAGAGTCTTGGAAATGCACAGAAGCAGCTATACTCCATCCTATAGGGTCTCTGTGAGTAGAATTGCCTAGATGGCAGTGAGTTTGAGTGAGTTCATATTGTAAAACACCCTAGTAAAACCCATAGCCATCAGTCAGCGCTGATTGCTGTCTGCCCCATGGGTTACAAAAAAGAATGGAACATAAGGAGGTTTTCTTCGAGGTAACCTTTATGGAAGCAAGTAACGGGATCTCTCTTCCATAACACCAGTGGGTGGGTTTGACTCATAACCTTTCACTTGGTAGCTAAATGCTAGCTAGTTCTGTGACTCAGCGACTGTTATAATAATAATAACAGCCAAAACATTATCACCTGCTTTCCAGGTTCCACATTAACCTCTTCACATGTATTCTTTCTTTTCACATTCCTGAGAACACAATGAGGGAGAGTGCGCTCTCTCTTTCCTATATTACAGACAATGTCCTGGAGGCTGGAGGAGATCTGAAATCCTTCCCCAAGCTCACTCAGCTAATAATAGTGGATCCAGGTCGGCCCAACTTCTAAAGCCAGGGGCTTACCCATCAGGCTATATGGAACCACGTATTTAACCTTTCCTGTTTCTGGCACTGCTTCAATGCTTTCTTAATATTCAAGTCAGTTCAGATCAGAAGTAATTCAAAATAAACCATTCATGCTGTGCACACTTCAGACAATGCTAATATGAACACATGACAACCAAGATGGTGTAAATCAGCCAAGTTCCTCATTTTTCCAAATAAATATCCCCTCCAGACTCTGAAAGTTTAATTCTAGTCCCATGATATCCATAAACTAAATAAGTAGACAATGTCTGTGATTTAATTGTCACCAATTAGTACATTATATCTATAAATGTTAGTGATTATTATGTTAAGCGTGTTTCTGTAGTCCATGTATTATCAGATGTTCTGCCAATGTTTTGCAAGTGAAGACCTTTGTTTATAATACTTCTTCAATAAAAAGCTTATTAGTTAACTTTTACTTGGCTCTTTAGGGATTAAGTAGGAAAGTGTGAAATAAGAAATGTGGGTTACCTACATGCCTCCCATAAGCAGACATCTTCTTAAGCCTACTGGCTACTGCCCTCCATAATCATAAATGCTGCTTTGGCTCATGTCCTCTGGACAATTTTTCATGAATTGTTTCACTCAAAATGATGTTGGGAAGAAGCCAACATCCCACCAAGGCCATGGCTCCTTATATTAGACACTTAGTAAACATTTGTTCATTTCGGGACATAGGCTAACCCTGGGAACACACACTATGTAGGTAGATAAAACGTCATTTAAATCAGTTCAAAAGAGTTCTGGCCTTTTGTTTTCCAACGCAGCGAGGTGTATGCCATTGATTTATTAATAAAGCGATAACTTTCCTAATTATTCAGATTATGTTAAATATGCTTGGTGTTTCCACAGTAAAAGTTACTCATTGTACAAATGTGATAAATGAGCACTCTTCCTCCTGAGCAGCCTTTCCCACTTTGAGAATGTTTTCGCTCAAGGTAGAAAGCACAGAAATGAACCTACATCTATCTGAAATTTGAATCATTGTCTACAAAATGTATGAGCATAGGATGATGCTATTGTCAAAAAGCATTATTTACCAAACACTGTTAATCTCATTTGAATACCAGATTCATTTTATACTGCCCAAACTTGTCCCCCCGCCCCCTCAAGTTTTTGAGTTCTCTTAGTTACTCATCATTGAATGTGAGTGTCTTTTTGATTACTGCATGACTGTGTTTCTTCCTCTGGCTTCTCGAGATGACTTAGAGATAGATTTACTGTCACAGAGTCATGGCTTCTTAGGATAATATAAATTTATAAACATGATTTCTTGACAGAACTTCTGTGTGTTTTAGAATTATGCAAACTATTATATCTTGGTCTATAAAAATATATTTGATTTCCGCTTCATCTAAATTCTATGCATGTCCTTTCAGTGTTTTCATTCCACAAAAGTGCAAAGCAACTGAAAAAATGTAAATGAGAGTCTTCAGTGGACTTTAGAGGAGTGATCTCAGGTTTAACAGATACCTGCAGGAAGCAATGATAGTGGGTAATAAACCCCAGATCAGTTACACTTTTTCCATGTGCTATGGAGTCTATGCACAAGAATTTTTATCTAATACTATATTATATGCTTTTATTTCTAGCTAGTACATTTATAAGAGTTTTTATATTGAAAAACATGATTTTGTTCCTTATCTCCAAAAGCAAAATGACTCTGCTCTATTACAAACCTATTAGACCATTATCTCCACATATTTAACTTTTTGATTTTTCAATAATGTTTTGTTATACAATCAGCAACTATACTACTACAAATGCCAAAAGATTCAAAACTGCTAAGTAGCAAATCTGTGAATTCACAATGATATTCTAAATGATCCAAGAAATGTCATTTTAAGTGGTAAAGTCAATATGTATTTTGGTTCGTTAACCAAGTACACAGTGGCTATTTCTATCATCTCTGTTTAACCAAGTGTGTATTGCGATGCTTGGCTTAAAACACTTCTATTTTTAGTTCTAATGGAACAGTCTTAAATTGCTTATGTTCTGTTTACTAAAGTCATCCCACTTGTTTCCATGGAAACTATGACAAGTGCTCCCGCTAACTATTTTATTGAAGATAAAGCTGAAGATTAGGAAGGTGCAGCATGTCATATTATAACTTATTTTTTTCAATATGTGCAAAAACACATGGCTACATTTATATTAAATATGAAATATAATATAAATTAACTTCAAATCAGTGAAGTTACCAGCCCCTGACCATCCGAGTCATAATTAGCACACAGACAACTCTAACTTTAATCTATCTTATAAAAGTTGATTTTTAAATCAGATTTGGGGAAATTAGAACACACTTCCCAAAAGAAAGAATTTTATAAATAACGAGATCTTCAGGCCTACCCTCAAGGTCCATTGAACCTGCGCTGCCCTCAAAACTATAACAATATTAGCAATAACCTTTGTTTCTAGCTCTGGCAGCACAAGCCATGTTTCAAGAAAGATAAGGAAATAAAGTTTTCACATACTTTTTTTTTAATAGTCAAAGCATGCATAGGACCAACGTTCAAAAGGGTTTTGCATACCTTTGGACCCTGCCTGTCTTCATCTGTGATTGGCCGGTACTTCCGTTACGAGTGTCCAGGTACTTCCACTTCCCCTCATTTCCCGGTGCCTGCTCCGCTCCCTGCAGTCTAGACTGCTCCTTCCTTTACACTGAACGTCTTTTCACTCGAGCCAAGATTATCTCAGTTGGGAGTAATGAAAGGATTCAAAATTGCACACTATTACCCGAATGATGGAGAACCCTTCGTGAAATTTTCACACTTTAAAAATACAATGATGTTTAACTCAAATGAACCCTTCCCCTGAGAAATTACTGTCCCAGTCACTATAACATATGGAACCATGGGGTAACAATGTGAGGGGTCTGCTGCGAGGGAATACCCATCGCTAGAAGTCAGGTTCAAGGAGTCAGTCTTTCAGTGGAACCATTTTCAGAGTTTCTGCAGCCTCTCAACTCCCGAATCTTCTGCATCATGTATCTTGAAGTTTCTTTTAGAGAATGTTGAGTGGTAGTGGATTTTAAACATAAGTATTTCCTTTAATTCATTTTATTCCCAGGTGATTCTGACAAAATATATCTTGCTATCTTTTAAATTTTTCTTTGGAAGAATATCCTTTTAGTTGACTGGATCAAATGTAAACAATAATATGGATGAAATTGTGTTCTTAACAAGAAGCAAATCTTAGAAAACCATTTTAATATGGGTATGGTAAAACTTTTATTTTCACAATTTTTTAAAATGGAACTTAAGAGAGTCAATAATGTACTGTTTTATGTTCAAGAAATTAAAGAAGAAAATGGGATATAATTTGTTTAACAAGAAAATCAAGATGGTACAAATGGATTATATTACCTTATCAAAATACAACTGTTTTTAAACTGATTAATATTTAAACAAAATACATAAAGAAGAGCCAACTTCCTGAAAGAAAGAATTTTATAAATAACAATGAACTCGTCAGGCTTGCCCTCAAGGTCCTTTTTCATGAAAGTTAAGAAATTTTAGTTATGTGGAATTTTTGGCCCCTCTACTAGTTAGTACAGGTGTTGAATATGAAAGCAAATAGGATTCGATACTCTGTTCTCTGTTTATCCACACAACAGTACCTGGGGTTGACAACAATTTATTTTTTTCTGGCCATATTTGTGCAAATTTTAAAGAAATATGTATATATATATTACAACATTAAATAAAGTCTCTTTTTTTCAGTGTTCATGACGATTTATTGGAGAAAACTCTGTAGAACTTTATAATTACAAAACTACTCAAACAGTAGTTTATTTCTGAGCAAACTCTCATTTTCCTTCTCCCAGGTTCTACTTTCATTTGTAACACTCACATCATTCCAGTGAAAAACCAAGAGGGTGTGGCCATGATGTTCATCATTAACTTTGAATATGTAACAGATGAAGAAAATGCTGCCTCCCCAGAGAGGGTAAACCCAATATTACCAGTCAGAACAGTAAACCGTAAGTAAAATGCAATTTATACTTTTGATAGACTGCTACAGTAATCACCTTACTTTATTTGTCATATCACTTTGGCTTTCAAAATATATTTTCACACATTACAATAATGAAATATTGATACCAAAAGAGCAACATTGACCAAGGGACAAAATACAAAAGAGTTAGGAAAAAAGGGGAATGGAAATAGGAAACAGAAATTTAGATGTGGTGCTTCCTTGTGGAGATCACACTTTAGTGAAATGAAACAAATGTGCATGTATTGTCGAAAGAGAAGTCATCTGCCTTGAAATCTCCCACCAATTCACAATCAAAAGATAAGAAAAGAATGGACCACTAAAAACCTTATGAATTTTAAGTAAAATAACTTTATCTAATGATCCATAGATGTTGTTACTCATCTCCTCCTTAATTTAACAGAGAATTTATCAACTGCCTCCAAAGAAGGCTATTTGATTTGGAAAAAACTGTAGTTTATTCAACCAACCATTGGACATGTGCCCACCTTCAAAGTTTAGCTATTATAAATAATACCAGAGTGGATCTTGCACATGCATTTTTATTCCCATGCAGACAACTTTTCAGGGTAGAGTCCTAGTAGTGGAATAACAGGGCTAAAGGGTATTAGCATAAGCAATCTTTTTAAGTACCGTCCAAGGTCCTTCTGTATGATTTGAACCATTTTATACTATACACAGCAATGTCTTAGCCATGTCAACAAAAAAAGTCAATCTTCTTGATTTTTGTCATTCTGATGGCTGTGAAGTAGTTCCTCAGTTAGTTGGGGTTTACATTTTTTTCTTATTATGAATGGCATTAGTAAATTTAAGCACTTTACACATTTTCTACCACTGTCTATCAGTTAATCATACTGGGTTGGCTTGCATAGTCTATGATGCTAAGAGCTATGACTCTATTATTTCAACTATCAGGAGGGTCACCCCTGGTGGGCAGATTCAGCATAGCTTTAAGACTAAGACAGAATGGAAAGAAAGATGTGATCATCTACGTGCCTCACAAAAACATAGACCATCAAAGCACATTAAGCAAGAGAGAGACCATTTCTTTGACAAATGGTGCTGGCAAAATTGAATATCCGTCTGCAGAAAAATGGAAGAGGACCAATATTGCCCACCACAGGCAAAAGCAAACTCAAGATGGATCAATGACTGAAGTGTAAAGATCATAACTGATAAAACTGGAACAAATTCAGGGGCCCTAATACTTGGCACACATATGCTATCAAACATAAGCTACTAATGCACAAACATCTATGCACAGAAGATAAACTAGACGTTTGTCATCTCCTAAAATTTGGACTTGTTTGTACATCAAAATATTTCCCCAGAAAAATAAAAAGAGAACCTATACACAGCGATATGCAAATGATATGATTGCTGAAAATGAGGAAAACTTGAAGCACTCGCTGAGGAAGGTCCAGGACTGAAGGCTTCCGCATGGATTACAGCCTGGAAGTGGAATTACAAGGCTGAAGAAAGCCTAAATCTTCAAATCTGAACTACCGTCCTACTAAGTGAAGAAAAACTTTGTAAGTTGTCAAGGATTTCGTCATTCTTGTATCCACAATCAATGCTCATGGAACAGTAGTCAAGAGATCAAACAACCCATTGCACTGGGGAACTCTGCTGCACAAGACCTCTTCAAAGTGTCGAAATAACTTGGTTCCAACTGCTAGCGACCCTGTGCAGACCAGAAGGAAGTACTACATCATCCTCACCATTGCTGTGGTTCAGGCCCTGGCCAAAGCCACTGTATCAATCCTTCTTGTCCAGTGTCTTCCTCATTTTTGATGTCCCTCCTCTTTACCAAGCATGATGTCATCTCTAGTGCTTTGTCTTTTGTGGTACCATGTCCAAAGTATAGGAAATGAAGGAACTAACTGTATAGAAATATTCTCATTCGAATGTATCTATCTTTGTGGGCCTACTACAGCTCTTCCTCCCAAGCCCATTTCACTTGCATGTCTAGCAATGCTTCTACTTGTTGATAAACACAGCAGGATTACGTGTATAGCTAGAGTTAAAGCTAGAACTTCCCTGTGTCTTCTTTCCATTGTCTCCATCATTTTTTGGTCAATTTCCCTTTCACTGTATAGTGCCTTTCTTGTCACCCAATTTAAATCTACTTAACTTCAGAAATAATGAAAAATATTTTAAAATTACACTCATTTGTTTAATTTCATCTTGGACATTTTATATTTTTGTTGTTTTAAATGGAATCTGCTCTTTCACTATTTTTTTCATTTCGGCATATAAAGGTTTTGACATGCGAATTTTATAGCCTTCAATTTTACTGATTTTTATTAACTTACAGTGGTTTATGCATTGATGCTCATCAGGTTTTTTTTGTATATAGGATGTCAAATAGAGGTCGTTTTAAAATTTAATTTTCTATTCTTACAAAGCTCAGTTGTTTTTCTCCTCTTTGTCTAATTTCTCTCCAAGATAATGTTAAATAGAAATTAGGACAATGAACATTCTAGCACTCTTGAGAATTGGTGGGACTCTCATCCACGCCTTCCACTAATTAAGATGAAAGCCTTTAGGTTGATTTGTATGTGTTTTATCATTCTAAGAGTTTATTTATTCATATTTACTGGAAAATGAGTGTTAAATTTGTCAAATACCTTCTCAGCATCTGTAGAAATAGGTGTACTGTTTGTTTCCTTACTGATATGGTAAATTTGATCAATGCAATATTATTTTGTAACTATTCTTGTCTCTGGAACAAGGCGCATTTGGATGATGTATTTCATTTTTAATATAGTATGCTATTCAATTTTTATATCATTTTAGGATTTACATGTTTATATTTATTAGTGATGTTAATGTGTAATTTTTGTGAATAATAAGCACAATTTTTAAAAAATTCATCCTACTAAGAAACTGGTAG